AGACTGCTACTGGGTGGGGGCAGTACCCAACAGATAGCCTCTCCATCCTGAAACGAAGGGGTTTAGGGTGTAGAGTCACCAGCAGCACCTCAAGGTTAGCCCTGACTCCTCACACGGCTGCAATAAAGCTAGCAACGGCCGCTCCGTTCCAACCGTCAGGCCCCTGTGCGCTCGGCAATGCGCTCAGAAATAATGATCTCCTCTGATGATAGGTCATATGCCAGCATCATATAATGGTGCCGTATTGGGACTGATCAGTGCGGGCCGCGGGGAGAGGGGGGGTGGTTGTAAGTGCAGATATCTGATCAACCCTAAACCCTAAATCCTTAACCCTTAATCCTAAACCTTGAATCCTAAACCCTAAATCCTAAAACCTAAACCCTAAAAATCCTAAAGCGTAAGCCCTGAATCCTAAACCCTACATCCCACACCCTAAATCCTAAATCCTAAGCCCCTGGACCCTAAACCCTGAACCCACCAAGCTGCCAATGGAGGGTAAGCCCCATCCTGGAGCACCGTCCTGGCACTTTGGGGCTTGTCCCTGAGGCTCCCCAAATTCAAGGGTTTTGGGTTTAGGTTTAGGGTTTAGGGATTATAGGTTTTAGGTTTAGGGTTTAGGGTTTAGGGCTTAGGATTCAGGGTTTAGGGCTTAAGATTCAGGATTCTGGGTTTGCGGTAGAGGGTTTAGGGTTGAGGGTTTAGGGCCTTTGGCTCCCCAGGGTCCTTGTAACCAATAACTCTGTACGTGGGCTTTTGGTACTTTTAGGGTTTAGGGCTTTTGGTACTTATAGGGTTTAGGGTTTAGGCCTTGTGGTACTTATAGAGTTCAGGGTTTAGGGCTTTTGGTACTTATAGGGTTTTTGGTGCTTATGGGGTTTAGGGTTTGGAGTTGTTGGTACTCATAGGGTTTAGGGTTTATTTTGGTGCTTATGACGATAGTGCTGTTTTGAGGAGGTATATGATCATTTCGTACGTGTACCCATGGGGCATGTTGTTAGGGGCTTGAGGGCTCTAGGACATAGGTTTGCCTCAGGGTATTTTGAGGCTTATACTGTAGTCCCCGTAGACCCACGAGAACATGTAGTTTCTTAATACTTCCTTAAAGTCATACTATAAATCACATTTAAAAGATTTTGAGGAGAGTACAATGTAATGTAAGAGCCGGAAATCGGTTGAATCATGTAGCGCTTAGGGTCTAGAGTTGCAGGGTTCAGTTTTTTTTTGTGGGACCTTTTCTCCAAGCCCAAAGGTTTCGAAGATGCTATTGCAGCACGATCCCTAGACATGGTCCAGCAATCAGGCTCAAGGACCTGTCTCGCCTTAACCCAGGACATTGCATGGTCAAGCTGTGGGGTTTAGGCTTCAGGGTTTAGAATGCAAATTACCGAAAAATATTCAGGGCGTCAGGCTCCTGTTTCGATGCCTGGGGCTTTAGTTGTAGGGTTGGGTTTCAGGGTTTAGGGTTTGGAGATGTAGGGTCCAGGTGAGAAGGCCCGAGTACTCAGTACTCATGACAAGGATTACAGTATACTGGGGTCTATATTTAAGCCTACTAGTATTCATGGAAACACCCATACCCCAAGTGCTCAATGCCCTAAACCCAAGCCCCCTAAACCCTAACCCATCCTAACCCCTTAAACCCTAACAGATCCTAAGCCCTAACCCCTAAGCTCCCTAACCCTTAAACCCCTGAACGCTTGAGAGACAGGCTGAAGGCTTACTCTTCTGATGCTTTACCATCTCAGGGGAAGCGTAATGCCGAACGTCCTTAAAGGACCTCTACCTATACCACCATGGGTTTAGGATTTAGTGTCTAGGGGTTTAGGTCTAGGTACGCAGGTTACCGAACAGCAGTTTTATCTACGAGGATGCTTATAAGAGAGGATGAGACATTACAGGACATTAGCTGATTATAATGTGTTTTTCCCTACCTGGCCCATGGCTCGGCCCAGAAAGGATTTGCTACCGTGTCACAGGCCTTGATGGCTGCGGATTTTCCTCTTGACTACTTTTTGTCGTGGTTGACAAAAATTGTTAAGTACCTTGATTTAAGTTACTACATGGGGAAAAACCATTATTTGCCACCAATACCCAATATGGTAACTTAACCTAAGTTCTTTATCAGCAGCCCAGACGATGTTCCTTTTTCGAAGGCTACAATCAAAATGCAAATATAATCTAAACTCCTTAAAGGGAAATATATAGGGGATTATATAGGGGACAACTATAGGGGCTATTAAGGGGGATACTAGGAGCTTAGACTATAGCTCAAATGCAAATGTAATCAGGCTCTTGTCTTCTGCGAGGAACATCGCACCTTTTGTCCAGATACTAGCTACTCAGTACCTGGGTTGCTGTTAAGGAAATAAGATAAAGCTACCAGAATAGGGATCGGGATACATAGTGAATTATAAGGTTTCCTCAATTTGGTAACTTAACTTGCTTTCAGCAACCCAGCGGGCTGGAACAATTGCTGGGATTCCGAGGTGGGAAATGCTGTAGTCGTGAGGTCCTTCCTATGCCCCAATGCGGACCCCTGCTTTGCAGACCCCGAGCCTGATCTCTGGTTGGCAGGGGATGAAGAAATGGAGAGGAAAAATCGAAACTACCACATGTTTAGGGATTATATGGGGACTACTCACACAATCCATTCCTGCATTCCTTGCTAGCTAGAGGTAAGATTCTTGAGACACCAGCTGCCAAGATCCGATCGGGTTGTATGAACCAGGGAGTAATCCCTTTGTGGATTAGGTGCGCCCCCAGTGACTGTAAGGGACGATGGTGACTATATTAGGGTCCTCCTATATTCCTATAATACCACCCTAAGCCCTAACCCCAAGTCCTATACCCTAAACCCTGAACCTCACACCCTAACCCTATCTATAACCCCCAACCCTATCCCGTAAGCCCTATACCTGAAACCCTAAACCCTATAACCCTATGATACCACTATTACAGGGTAGGGGGCCCACTTGAGCCATTGTCTAAACTCCTCGTATCCCCCTTAACAACCCCTATAATAGTTCCCTATATAATCCCCTATATAACCCCCCTTTAAGGAGTTTAGACCCTAAACCCTAAACCCTTTATAGCCCCCTATATAACCCCCCTTTAAGGAGTTTAGACTATGGCTCACTTAATGTCAGCAGAAGTAAGCCTCAGCTTCGGAGTAGGCGATGGCCACGGTGAAGACGAGGAAGAAAAGCCTAGGCTAGAGGATGAGGTTCTAGGGTTTAAGGTTTAGGGTTTAGGATTTTGGGTTTAGGGTTTAGGATTCAGGGTTTAGGGTTTAGGATTTAGGGTTTAGGATGTAGGGTTTAGGTTCAGGATTTAGGGTTATGTGGATGCATAGAGCTATGTCGGCATATGTAGTAGGGAATGGAGAAGACAATGGAACCTACCATTTAGGGTGTAGGGTTTCGTGATATCTTATACCAGGAAAGGAGAATCACATGAAAAAGACAATGGAAAGTAAAGTGGAAACCAGGGCAATAAAGGGGTGTATAGGGATAGACCTGTGTACTGTATCCCCTTCTTAAAGTAGCTAATTTTGAAACTAGGGTAATAGGAGCTATGCATTGATTCATGGCAGGGCCTGGGTTGTAGGGTTCAGCGTTCGGAGCGTGGGCTCTGGAGATTGGTGCGTGTGGGGCTTTGGTTCGGGTTTAGGGTAGTTTCGGGTGGGAACTATGGTACTTGCCCCGAACAGGTGCAGTAGACACAGTCACTGGCCCCTCTGCTGGTCTGAGCCTGCTATTGTTGCAAAATGCCAGTATCTTAGTAGCATTGGGGTTATATTAGGGTCATATTAGGGTTATATTGGGGCTTTAATCAAAAGATCTCCCTTTATGCTGGCCGTGACAAGTCGTAGCAACAACCATTCCCTTCTTGGCGTGCTGAACACCCTTGCCGAGACCTGAGATGTACATGCGCCGCAGAAGTAATGAAGTTTTGGAAAGCACAGCGGGGGTGAGAAGCTGTTGGAACCACCGAGCTGAACATACAGGAACGAACGTATCCATTAACAAGGTACGCAGAGCATCACAGTATTCGTAGAATGGTCGCGGCAGTAGCAGCAGTAAGAACTGCAAGAACAAAAACAGCAGTGGCAGTGCCACTACTGCTACTAGTACTCCTCCTCCTCCTCCTGCTGCTGCTGCCGCCGCCACTGCTGCTATACTGCTGCTATTACTGCACATGGGTGTGAGCATTCAGGCCTAAATTATCGAAGCCGATACCCCTGGAGATTCTAAAGTATCGTTCAGAAACCCAAACAGCATTCGCCACAAAGCCGGCTACAGTTAGAATGGGCCTATGAAGTCGGCAAACAGCCTCCTTCTGAGCTCCAATCGATACAGTTGAGCTAAAATGCTACATCGGATGCCTGCCAAGGCCTGAAGCCCATACCTTATAGGTCCCCAATAGACATCCCCAACTTGCACCTGTCACTCACATAATTTTGTGACACTTCCTTACACCCAAACAGAAGAGGAGCTTGACACTTCCTTATACCGAGATAGAAGAGGAGCCTTTTGGGGGTAGGGTTTTGGGTTTAGGTTTAGGGTTTTAGGAATTAGGCTTTAGGGTTTAGGGTATCTTGTTGGCCATTTATTGCCGTACTTTTGAGGTCTAGGAAATCCTAGCCCTAGAGCTCTGAATAGCCCAACGCCACTCATAGCCTTAAGTTCCCAAAGCAGGTAATAGGATGTAGACTGAGATTCCCAAATAACCCGAATGTACCCCAGTTTCGATTTCAATTTCCATGAGTTCTCCCTATGTAGGCATTATTTACAGACGTGGAGCTCCACCCTAAACCCAAACCTTAGCTTAATGTTGGTATTAGTTAGAGACCCGGGTGGTCGTCAAAATTATGGTCCCGTTTTGGGTACCCTAAATATTAGGTGCCGTACTATAATAGGGATCCAAAAAGGGACCATAATTTTGACAACCACCCACCTAGAGCCCCGGTGTAAGGAACGCCCAGCATGCTGCCCCGGAGCTGGCAGAAGGAACCCGAATCTGGCTTCATGATCCTGGGTTTAAGGGTTTAGGGGTTTAAGGGTTTAAGGGTTAAGGGTTTAGGTTTTTTTTTTTGAGCGCC